TTTTAAAATGAAGATTAGGCAACTCTCTAATTTCAACTACACTCTTCCAAAAGAAAATAATAGTAATAATAACAAAGAATAATAGAGGCAATTTTCCCATCCTATCATGTGACTGTGATGTAGATTTAATTCTTGGACTCAAAGAACATTTTCAAATAATGGAATTCCTTCACTTCTCAACTTGTTATTGGCTGTTTTCCCAACCCAGTCATTACCAGACTTTAAATCTAGGAAGGAAGTTTGGAGGCTGAGGTAAGGCAGAGGCAGGCGAGGCAGCAAGCAGAGGTGAGGGCAATAAGGGGGTGGGCAGAGAGTACAGAGGCTGATAAACAGCGGGCTATTGCACACATCTGTTCCCCAAAGTTCTCTTCATGCCAGCGGAGGCCTATCTCCACTCAAGCGGTCCACTCTCTGTTCTCCGACCAGAATTCTGAAAGAGCCATGACATTCAATTTGAATACGTTTCTTGGAGCAGTTAAAAAGTCAGTAACTGGTCGTTTTGGAGAGGTTTTTATTTTTTCAATTAAAAAAAATTAAAGTAAACTCTACACCCAATGTGGGACTTGAACCCAAGACTCCTGAGATCAAGAGTCTCAAGAGTCCCATGTTCTACCGCTGAGCCAGCTAAGGACCCCTGGACAGTTTTTTGTTTGTTTGTTTAAATAGCCACTCATTTTAATGAAAAAAAAAAAAAGAAAGAGAGCGCGCACAGATGACTTGTCATTTGTGGAACTATAATCCCGATCCCACATAACACACCCAGAGAAACCAAAAACAGAAAACACTCCAATTATCTAAAGAACCGTTTAGCATTTCACAATTTTTCACTTTAAACTGGTTATACCGATACATAAAACAACATTTAGACTGCTGCTCTCTGTGCTTGGACAGGAAACTTTATTTTTTTGTGTCACAGGTTTTACCAATTATAAAATGAAATGATCAGGAAATCAGCAACATCTTAAGGTCTGAGGCTTAATGGCAAGGCACATACATTATTTTTTTAAAGATTATTTTAACTATGCTGAATTAAAGTTCTAACCAGGGGATGGGGATAAGAAAGAAACAAGAACAATTATTGAGCCCCCAGTATTTATATTCATTTAGTCGTGTGAACTCTGCTACAATAATAGCTATCATTATTTGGTTTATGCTATATGTCAAGCACTATGCTAGGGGACTTAACATTTTTCTCTCATCTAATCTTTTTTTTCTTTAAAGATTTTATTTATTTATTTGAAAGAGAGAGAACACATGCGCGCACGCGCGCGCGCACACACACACACACACACACACACACACACACACACACACAGTGGGGGAGGGGCAGAGCGAGAAACAGACTCCCCACTGAGCAGGGAGCCTGATGTGGGGGCTGGATCCCAGGACCCCAGGATCATGACCTGCGCCAAAGGCAGACGCTTAAGCAATTGAGGCACCCAGGCACCCCTCTCTCATCTAATCTTCATGGTAACTTTATAAGGTAAATATTATTCTCATATTAAAAATGACAGAATTGTGACTAAAAAATGTTAAACCATTTGTCCAAGATTTCTAGATTTGGATAATTGTAAAGGGAGGAATAAAATTGAGTCTCTTCTTTCTCAAGATTGCTCTGGCTATTTGGGGTCTTTTATTGTTCCATACAAATTTTAGGATTGTTTGTTCTATTTCTGAGAAAACTGCCTTTAGAATTTTGATAGGGATTGCATTGAATCTGTGGATTGCTTTGGGTAGTATGGACATTTAACAATATTAGTTCTTCCAATCCCTGAGCATAGAATAGCCTTCCATTTATTTATATCTTCTTCAATTTCTTAATATCTGGTAGTTTTCAGTATACAGGTCTTTCACCTCATTGGTCAAATTTATTCCTAGGTATTTTATTCTTTTTGATGCAATTGTAAATGGGATTGTTTTCATAATTTCTCTTTCTGATAGTTTGTGATTAGTGTATACAAATGCAACATATTTTTGTGTAATGATTTTGTATTCTGCAACTTTGTTGGATTCATTTATTAGTTCTAATTTTTTTTGATGGAGTGTTTAGGGTTTTCTCTCTATATAAAGTCATGAAATCTGCAAATAGGACAGTTTTATCTCTTCCTTTCCAATTTGGATGCCTTTTATTTCTCTTTCTTGACTAAATGTTCTGTTTAGGACTTCCAGTACTACGTTGAATGAAAGTGGTGAGAGTAGGCATCCTTGTCTTTTTCCTGATCTTAGAGGAAAAGCTTTCAGTTTTTCACAACTGAGTATAATGTTAGCTGTTGTCGTGTCATAGATGGCCTTTATTATGTTGAGGTACATTCCCTTTGTATCTGCCTTGTTGAGTGTTGTTTTTTTAATCAAAAATGGATGTTGAATTTTGTTAAATTTTGTCAACATGGTGTATCACACTTATTGATTTACAGATGTTGAACTATCCTTGCATCCCTGGAATAAATTTCACTTGACCATGGTGTATGATCCTTTCAATGTATTGTTAAATATGGTTTGCTAATATTTTGTCAATGATTTTTGCATCAGGGATATTGGCCTATAATTTTTTTTTGTGGCAAACTTATCTGGTTTTTGTATCAGGGTAATGCTGGCTCGATAAAATGAGTTTGGAAGATTTCCCTCCTCTTCTATTTTTTGGACGAGTTTGAGAGGGATTGGTATTAATCTTTCTTTGAATGCTTGATAGGAATCACCAGTGAAGACATCTGGTCTTAGACTTTTATTTGTTGGGATGTTTTTGATTACTGCTTTTCCTTACTAGTGATTAGTCTGTTCAGATTTTCTGTTTCTTCATGACTCAGTCTTGATAGGTTGTAAGTTTCTAAGAATTTATCCATTTCAGCTGGGTTGTCCAGTTTATTGATGTATAACTGTTTATAGCAGTCTCTTACGATCCTTTGTATTTCTGTGCTATCAGATGTAGTATTTCCTTGTTCATTTCTGATTTTATTTATTTGAGTCCTCTCTTTTTTTCTTGGTAGTCTAGCTAAAGGACTTATGCGCTCTTAAATAGCTACCATTAAATTTAATTATGTTTTATAGCATGTTATGAATTTATTTCAGGGACTTGTCAGACATGTCTTCTATTAGAGAGAGAGAGAGAGAGAGAGAGAGAGAGAGAGAGAACCTTTTAACATTCACAACTTGTAGGAGTACTTAAATGTTCCAGATGAAAAAATATGCCATTGTGGTGGCATATTGTGGTGGCATATTGTCCCTTTGGTATTCTGGTAGGTCTGATAAGTAAGAAAGGGAGCAACGTGTTAATGGAAGATCAATGAACTAGCAGTCAGGAATTCTGGTTTCTAGTTTTGGCTGTGCCATCCGCTCAAAGCCTCATTGTGGACAAGTCTCAACTTCTTATATAAGGACACTTATAACCAAACTAATTTATGACACAGGGAATTTAGCCAAGCCTGGATCAAACTTTTTCTAATAAAGAATGAATTCATGAAGCATAAACATTCAATAAGTGAGAAAAGAGAGCTTGCCATCTTTATTTGCAATAAATACAGTGTGTTTCCTGTCCTTTCCACAAGCAGCCCTGGGAAGGGAGGGGTTGGAGGAGAGAACAGCAACAGGATGTGCTTCCCTGACATGTCAATAACCAGTCTAAATCCTTACATTTTTTCATGGCCATCAGGTCTGATATTCCAGAAGTCCATCCCACAAAAGAATTACTAATAACTTGTTATGAGGACAAGATAAGTGCTTCATTTCATTTTCATTTGTTCATTTTTTTTTTCAGGTGCCTTCCTTTCATTATTGTTGTCGTGTGAGTTTATAGTGACGATTTCAGGGACTTCGAAGGATAACATTTACAGAGAAACACTTGAAAGGACTTCGGTGTGCTTTTGGTAGGCTAATATTGCTAAGAGTTTGCAGGTGAACCAGGACAGAGACTAGAAACGGGACAGGTGCAAAGGGAGAAGGGCCTGGATACCTAAGCCAGTTCTAGGGAAGAGAAAGGGACTTTGTTCTTTCAGGCAGTGTTGATTTAAGGCACTGTGAGAATTGATTATATGCTTGCCAATCTCCCTTTGATGACAGGAGCTGTGTTATTTATCTTTATATCCCCAGCGACAGAAACAACTGACAATCAAATATTTGTTGAGTTGAACTGAGTAAAAACTGCGCGGGAAAAGGTGGGAAAAAGGAGACCGAAGTAAGCAGCCTCGGATATCTGAAACTTAACAGGATTTGGATTTACTGCAAGATCGACTGCAGGAGAAAGGGACTTCAGGAGTAGCAATGTTTCAGACGAGGTGCCAACAACCCAGAATTTAGAAGCTGAAAAGGGACTAGTTTGGAGAGTGATCAGAGTTCCTTATCAGTGAAAACTGATCAGGGAACAGGTTTGAACCCCCAAGAGAAAAAAGAAAGGGAGGAGCGACAGCGATAAGCAGATTGCCAAAACTGAGGAATGTTTGTGGCCAGAGAAACACTGAAGTCGGAGCCAAAGGGAGCGGATTGAGTTCCAAATAGCTGGAGGATCCCCGCCCAGGAGACTGACCTCCGAACTTCGCTTTGAGCTTGTTTCTTAACAGAACTACCAGGAAACCCTGAAAGATGTGCGGCTCGCGCTGGTATCTTGGCGCGACAACTTCCGTGTGTATGTGTGTGTGTGCGCGTGTATGTGCAACAGGGCGCGCCGCCCAAGAACTTCCGTGTGCGAGAGGGACTGGCGCACAGCCCGCCTGCACCCGCCGGGCGGGTGAGGAAACCCGCGCTCCCGGCCTGGCCGACCCCCACCGCCGCGGGCAGGGGCGGGCCGGGGCGGGCCGGGGGGCGGGGCTGCGGCCGCGCCCGAGCCGCTGGCAGCCCCACAGGCCGCCGCGGCCGCGCTCGCCGGCGCCACACCCCGCGACTACATTTCCCAGCAAGCCCCGGGCCGCCCGCGCGCCGCAGTTGACCCATTTCCCGGCCCGTCCCGGGCTCGGCCGGCCCCCGCGCCCAGGCGGCTGCTCCCTGCTGACTGGGGTGTGGGCGGGGAGCGGCGGAGGCAGGAGGAGGCGCTGCTGGCCGCCGCGGTTGCCTCCGCTGCTGGGCGCCTGGGCAGCTCCCGAGGGTTCTGCGGCCGCCATGGACGAGCAGGCGGGTCCCGGCGTCTTCTTCAGCAACAACCACCCGGGCGCCGGCGGTGCCAAGGGTCTCGGGCCTCTGGCGGAGGCTGCCGCGGCCGGCGACGGAGCGGCTGCAGCGGGGGCGGCGCGAGCCCAATACAGCCTCCCTGGGATCCTGCACTTCCTGCAGCATGAGTGGGCCCGCTTCGAGGTTGAGAGAGCCCAGTGGGAAGTGGAGCGGGCGGAGCTGCAGGTAAAGACCCTCCCGGCCTGGCCCTCTTCATCCCGCCTCTTCGCTCCCTTCCGCCCCGCCCAGGACCCTTCCCCCTCCCCCCCAGCCCCCGCTGGTCCCCTCCCCCTTTGCTCCCGCCCATCCCACCCAGAACCGCGTCCCTTTACCCCCTTCCCCTTTGCCTTTCGCTGACCCCACTTCCTTGACCTGGGTTCCCACTCCCGCCCTTGATGCGTTGTTTACCTTCCCCGCTCCTTTTCGTCTGCTCCTTCCCACTCTTAACTCAGTCTCTTTCCAACTCTTTTGCCGTCCCACATTTTAGGTCGTCCCTTTCAGTTTACTAATTGGGCTGACAGTAGTTTTGAGAGACGTCGAGCAAATCATCCTCTGCCCTAGTGAGTCCCATCCTAGGTCTAGAGATGTTCCCTGCGAAAGGTATTGGTAGTTGGCTCCTCTCTCTGAAAGGAAGGTGATTAAAGACAGCAGAAGTTGTGTCTGAGGGGCCTTGACTTCAGGCGAGAAGCAGATGTTGGGCGAAAGTATTATTAGGAGTATCAGCTTCTTTTTAGATACGTGTAAATGTTTTTTTTCCCTCTTTCCTCTTCCTTTACCCCCTCCCGCGTTTCTTTTAGGTATTTCAGATTCATGGATTTTGAATGAAGGACGTAGATGATAACAGTCAGGTGATGGTTCAGAGATGGTTTCCTGTTCTCAGAATCTGAAACTTTCCAAGGGTTAATTTTATGTCCAGTGTTTTGTGAGATTGAGTTGTACTTTGAAAGGAACTAAAAGGGACTTTAAAGTTGGTTACATTTCCTTGCATAATCTGCAAGATAAAGTATATCCAGGAAGGAGCTTGTTGTGGGCTCTTAGAAGAAAGTGAGGCTGATCCTTTACTGGCCATTCTGAATTGCTAAGTAGGTTTCAGTGGCTGTTCTTAAAACTTCCAAGGCACATAGCAACTTCACAAGGAACTTAAAGAACTGAGTGGCTGTGCCTTTCTGTTTTACTAGCTAATCCTGTATGTTCATGAAATCTGAGTATAGTTTTGGTTGGTGAAACACTTGAAGTTAAAATGCTATCCAGTGTGTCACTTTTTTTGGTAACATGTATTTTCTTTGGCACTTAAAAAAAAGAAAAGGAGAAATCTGTTAAATAGAATCATGTGCTGGAACAGGGCGGTTTGGCATAGTGGAAGTGGCTGGGGAAAGAGGGAGTAGACAGCCTTACAGTACCGGCTGTGCTTGCTTCTAGCTCTGACCTTGAGGAAATCCTTTCGCCTCTCCGAACTTCAGTTTCATCTTTTATTTATCCAGTACGTTTATTGAGTGCCAGCTGTGTGCCTCTAGGCCCTGGGATTAACGAAACCGAGAGCAGCTCTGCCCTCATACAGCTTACATTTTAGTTGGCAGTCAGCAAATGCAAGTATATAATATTCTGGACCATAGTGGCAACTTGGATGAGAAAAATAAATCAGGTACAGGGATAGAGTGTGAGAGGGGCAGCTATTTTATTTTAGATGTGGTGTTTGGGGAAGGCCTCTGGGAGGAGTTGAATGGAGCGAGGCATGACCCATAGTTATTAAAATTTTTTCTCGTTATTTCTACAGTTGTATGTTTATATACTTTGGCAGCCTTTTTTATTCCTTTTACGTACTTCAGTATCTAGTCTGTGGATATTTGTAAATTTTCTCAAAATCTGCCCATCTCTGTATAAATAACAAGCAGACTTAAATGCTTCATTCAAATTTATTAGTAATTCACTTTATTAGCACTGCATTCTATAAATGAGCTTGTGGATTTCAGACTTCAAGGAAGTGTGAAAGACAGGCTTTAACTTTAACGTTGTTCAGGTGTGGAGAGTGATTTTTCTATGTGACTGCTTAAATTTTAATTTCCAGCTTAGGGAAGGCGAGTCACACTAATTTGGTCAAAAAAACAAGATAATAATTCTTCCCTTCTTACTTGTGGAGGTTTGGGAACTTCCAGTTCATCTCACCCCTTGTCGGGTCTCCCAGCGCTCCCCCTACACTCCTCCGTTTCAACTTTTCAGTTTGCCTGTAATTAATTGTAGTCACTCTTCAGTTTTACATACACACATGGATGCACGCGCGCTACTTCCCAGGTTATTTATGGTAAATGTTAAAGTTCAGGTAGGTTTCCCATTGGTGCTCATCACATTGAACGCGGTACATTTTTACAGTATCTTTTGGTTTGTGCTCACATTAATTTAAGCATCCATGGAGAAACGTTAAATGTTAAAAATGTGTCATATTTTCCAAACAGAACAAATATTAAGTATATTTGTTATGCTTTTGTTTTGTATTTTGTGGGCGAGAGTTGCAGGAATCTCACAATTTAAAATATGTTTTTTAAAATCATTTCATCAACATCAATAAATTTTGAACATATCCCTTCATTTTTCTTTTGCCATTGGAATTTTTCTAGAAAAACGATATGAAGTAAGAGTTGAATGAATGACGATGAAATTTTGTTTTCTTTAAGATTTTATTTATTTATTTGACAGAGAGAGACACAGCGAGAGAGGGAACACAAGCAGGGGGAGTGGGAGAGGGAGAAGCAGGCTTCCCGAGGATCAGGCAGCCCCATGTGGGACTTGATCCCAGATCGCAGGACCCTGGGATCACGACCTGAACCGAAGGCAGATGCTTAATGACTGAGCCACCCGGGCACCCCGACGATGAAATTTGGAGTAGTTAGTGTCCCCCTTTGGATTTTTGAATCTCTTCTCAAGTCATTAACACCACAGTCAACAAAAATACCTTTAAGATTAAGTCTAATTTGTCCCTTCAGGAACCTGTTAGTCCTGCTCTTTCAGGTTGCCAGTGCAGAGTTGTGCAAGGCAATCCAAGCTCTCATCTACCTGGCTTGCCTTTTCCACTTCCTCCCTTCTTCAGGTCTTGGGAGGAAGGAACCAGCTACATTGTGATGCAAACTTGTCATTCCCCCCCCCCGCCCCTTGCCCATCTTGGTTAATGTAGAATTCTCTTTATTTTTGATAATCTCCCTCCCACCTCACTACCACCATTCAGATGAGACTAGGTCATTCATGGGAAAAGAACGGTTAGAATTATTACTGAGCTTTATATTTGTGAAAGAAAGTGGAGTTGGAATACTAATCATAACATTTGAGAGAATTTTCTGTATGTGAGACATTGAGCTAGAGGACCTCAAAAGAGCATGCAGTCTAGTTGGAATGATAGTACAAGCAAGATGCAGAAAGATCAGTATTGATCACGTTGGGGGCTTAAACTTTCTTAGAATAGCATAAAAGAAGAACTAGCAGTGAATAGGAAGAAAGAACTTCATGAGGTAATAAGAACCTATTTGAAAATTACTGACTTAACAGAAAGCAAGCATGTAAATAAAAAATAAAATTTATTGGCCCTAATTTTGGGGGGTGTGTATAGTAGGGGAGGCTCTGCTATTTACCTGCAAATGCTAAAATTGTGTGAAAAAGATGGTATGATTGAGTAGCTTAGGGCATGTGGTATAGGGACTGTATACTGGAGTGTTTATTAATCTGGATTTTGTCATTATAGATTTATATTTTCATTCGACAAATGTTTGTCAGTCGTCCGCTTTATGCCAGTTCCTGTTCTAGGCACTGGAGAAACAAGAATGATTAAAATAGACCCTTCCGTCATGAAGCTTAAATTCTGGAGGAAGGCAGACAGTAATAAATACCTACATACATAAAATATTAGATGGTGGCTAGCACCATGATAATGTGGTATAAGTGGGATATGAAATGCTTGAGAGGGTGGAGTGGGGAAGAAAGGCTTAACTGATGAGATGCCATTTGAGCAAGACTTGAAAAGGTGAAAGTAAGGAAAGAATGTTCTAGGCCTAGAGAACAGTGCTGGGGGGGCGCGGGGGGCAGGGGGAGCATGCTTGGAATGTTTGAGGAATAATGAGGCACATGTGGCTAGAGTAGAGGAGAAGCATGGAAGAAATGTCGGAGGCACTGGGTCTTGCCCATTGTAAGGATCTTAGATTTTTACCTCCGCCAGATGGGCAACTGTTGAAAGGTTTTGAGCAAAGGAGGAACACCATCTTTAAAAGGAACCCTTTGCAAGGATTTAGAATACACTTGGAAGACAAGAGTAAAAGAGTCAGGGAGTCTAGTTAGGGGGCTATTTTAGTAATCCAGGCTGGAGATGAACTAAGGTGGTAGTGATGAGATAAATGAATATATATTTTGATACATATTCAAAGTATAATGGATTCCAAATACATTTTTGAAGGTAGAAACAACAGGATATGCTGAAGAATAGGATGTGAGGAAAAGAGGAGTCATGTATGACTCAATTATTTTGACTGAGTAGCTTTATGAGACTTAAGATTTACTGACCATATAGATGGATATACAGCACTTAAAATGACAGTTTATTTTGTGTTTCAGCTATTGTTTACAATTATGGTGAGAGACAACATGGCATAGACCTGCTTTAAATCTTTTCTCTAAGACTTACTACTTTATGGCAAACATAGCAAACAAATTTTGACCTTTGAGAACCTTAGTTTCCTCATGTATAAGGTGAGGATAATAAACTACCGTGTGAGGATTAAATGAAATGGTTTAAAATACCTCACAGAGGCTGGCACGTAGCACAAAATAAGTGCTGAATGAATAAATGGTAGCAAATACATGATGTAAAATTTGCATTCTTTTTTATATCCTTGTGTCCAGAGAAAAGCATAATCTTTAGTTGTGAACTCTTTTAAGGCTCTAGCCTGGACCAGGCAGTCTAATATTCCAGGTCTGACGGTGACCCTACGGGACATTTCATAGGAGTGAATTGTCAGCCTCACAACACTGATTATATACTTCACATGTATTTGCTTTCCTTATAACTCCGTATGTGTCTGTTATCTTGGAATTTGTGTAAAATTTTTTGAGTGTGTTTTTCTTTTTTTTAAAGATTTTATTTGAGAGAGAGAATGAGAGAGAGCATGAGGGGGGGAGGGTCAGAGGGAGAAGCAGACTCCCTGCTGAGC